ATTTAATTAGAGTAGTGCAAATGGAAATTGATTACATGATAGTGCGACACTGATCTAGTTCAGCCTCTGACTTGGACATCTCTATGAAGAAAATTTTTTTATCGTGCATTATACTATCTAATTAACTATCAAAAATATGCCGACATTTACTCAATGACGATGCAAATAATCCTGGACGTATATGTGTAGCATCTTTATCTGTTCGACAGTAGGGTTGGGTTCTGGGTTGTTACCCTGGGAGTAGGGTTGGCTAGTCTTCGACCTGATCTCCAATTCCTTTCTTCATCGCCTTTTTCTATATAGCCATTTTGAAGGCCGTGATAGCCTGGTTGATAGGGCACTGGGCCCATGTCCAAGAGTTCGTGGGTTCGATCCCCACAGACCGAAGACTCCCCGTTTAGTAAATGGTGACTGATGCACGCTTAATCTGTCGAGTCCTCATTGTTCCCATAACAAATCAATACCTCTGGGGGTATTGAACCAGGAGTTTCCTTGCTTTCCGGATAGGTTCAAAATTACAAGCTTGAAACTTTAAGAGTTATTTACCAAACACTTGTTATAAAATAATAATTAATCAAATAATAAAATGTATTAATAACCGTTTTCAAATATTTATCCGTTGTTACCCTAAAATCTTATAAATATCTTATGGTAGCTAGTCTTGGAATGCAAGACGATGAGTAGGAGTAGAACATTAGTTGTCATAAACCCAAAATTGGGTCGGCTGTTCAACGACGAATATAAAACAAAATATCTAGCCATTTAACCATCTCAAATTTGCTTCGAGTGCCTAGTGGTCTGATCTTCCGTACATCCTACTGATGTGGCCTGTATATTTTTCATTTGTAATTTAATAAAATAATGATAGCTGATCCTTTATATTTATAGCTCTAAATTAATTCTTCTTAACCACACTACTTTTTTCTTCTTGCATACCACCGTGTTAACATATTCACGATTTTAAAATATGAATAATTATTGTATTATGGAAAAAAATGTTCTGAATCTATATATCACGTATGACTCATCGATAAATCGATTTGAGATTACAATCAATCAATTAAATTTAATGAAATTTAGTGTTTTTTAGGAAAAAAACAATATAATAATACATAGTTCAATGTTAAACAATAAAATGCCGTTAGTGACGGCATTAAAAAGTCGTAACTGAGTGTAAGTTCCTGGTACGATGATACGAGGGAAAACAAAATATATTTTATTTTTTATTCCTAGAATCTCGTTAAAGGAATTGTTTTCCAACTGAATAAACAGTTCTTGAAATATTGAAGTAGAAACATTTTTGACCCTCTTAAAATGGTTGCGATATTTATCCTTCAAGGTTCATATACGTTGCTATGAAAAACAAAGCTTTATATTTTCAAAAAGAAATCATGTTTAAATTTATCTGGCTGTTTTAAGCGAAAAGTAATAATTAGTTACTAGTGGGCTGCGCCCCCTGCTCGCTAACACTCTCCAACCCCCGAAAATTTCTACGCAATCTTATATTATTCGCTTCGCTCGCTTCTAACTTAGGTACATTGCAAATGCATAAAATTCTAAGAATTGGGTATACTATAGCCTACGTCACAGGTTGTGTTATTCCTACTAAATTTAACCCATGAACGGCATTTTCTGCGAGCCTAACTTCAAGCCACAAATAAACAAACGAAGTGTTTGATCGTTTAAATAGCTGCTCGCCAGATTTTATTGCATTATAAAGAAAAGTTATTGAAACTAAATACAACTTTAATAATTGATTTATGTGGATAGTGG